GCGGGTTAGCTCCCTGGTCAGGGATTGAACTCATGCTGCAATAGCTGTGGAGAGCTTCATAGTGCTGCACTTTAACTCCCTGTACCACCAGGGAGGGCCCAATATTACATTTTCAAAGAAGGAAAACAAAAGTATTTTTGAAACAATTACTAAAAATGTGTATATTTGAACTATTAAAATGCAACTTTAGACTGCCTGTAAAGAACACATAATAAGCCACTTAATACAGCCAGAGACATGTTAGAATGAGATGAACTTTAGTTTTGCTAGAAAGAACTGAGGTCCTGAATTCTTAAATCAGTGGACAGTCTGTAACTTACCTAAACCTTAATAAACCAAATCTGTAACATTTCAGTGTCAAACTAAGATACAGTTACAATCTCTCCAAATAGTTTCTATTCAGGTCTCTTCTCCTACCGCCTTGCCAGAGGTCTTCCCTGGCCACCTCTCAGAGCAACTTTCCTACATTACTCCTTATTCTTGAAAATATTACTCTTTATTCTTGAAAGCACTTATCACAGGTCTAATTATATTGATTCCCAACCACACATACACACACAAGAACTCTACTCCAGCTGTTTCCCCAGGTCTTGAACACTGAGTGGCATCTATGAGCACACAAATCACTTTTCAGAGAAAGAACAAATCCAAAATAATTTGAGTTCAAAATACTAGGTTCAGTGAAGCATCTATGCATACTTGTAAATATAAAATTCTTAAAGTTAATAAATAGTATCACTTTCAACAAACTTAAGGGTGTAGGACTTAAAGTGCACAATTATTGAGGAGATAAAATGGTCAACAGGGCAGGTTCAAATGAAAGTCAAGTTACCATTCACTTCACTGTGTACCTATCTTAACTTCTCATTATCTCAGTTTCCCTTTAGGTAAAATGAGGATAAAAACAACACCTACTTCAGTGACAAGAGAGTTAAATAAGAACACACACAGTATTTACAACAATAAACTATAATTGGGGGCAAACTTGTGTTCATTATCTCTTTCCATAATTCCAAACTAAAATACAGGACAAAAAGTAATAATGAAAAGGAAAATTTGGCCCTCCCTGGTGACGCAGTGGGTTAAAGCACTGCACTAAGAAGCTAAAGCCACTTCCGCATAAGTTCGATCTCCCCTGCCCCACATGGCGCGGCAGACCTCCCCTGGCCTGCCCACTGCTCCCCTCAGCAGTTACTTCATTGATCTGCCTGTTCTGCTCCCCACTCTGTCTCTGGTGAATCCTCTCACCGTCCCTGTACCTCTGGCCTGTACCCCAGTTCTGTATACATAAATAAAACTTTAAAAAAAAAAAAGGAAAATTTATTTTTGTTTGAAAAATTGTACATCAGGGCCCTCCCTGGCGGTGCAATGCGTTGAAGCACAGAACAACAAGCTGTCCACAGCTACTGCTGCACGAGTTTGATCCCCGGCTAGGAAGGTGGCCCACATCACATGGCAGACCTCTCCTGTCTCACCCACTGCTCCCCTCAGCAGTATACTTCAGTCAGCCTGTCTGTTGTGCTCCCCACTTTGACTCTAGCGAATCCTCTCACCCCCAGCACCTCTGGCCGGTACCCCAGTTCTGTATGCATAAATTAAAAAAAAAATCTTTAAAAGAAAAATAATGTACATCATATTTCTTTAAAAGAGTAAGATTATTTCCACCATAGGAAAAAGAGAGGTCAGAGGCATTACAACATGCTTTTCAAATAAAAAATGATAAGTAAAAATGTAATGGAGAAGGAAAAGCCGGGGGGTGGGAGTGTGGCACGGGAAAGTGCAGGCTGAGACCCAGAGCCCCGGAGAGCACATGCAGTGGTCTCTGCAGCAGTCTCTGCAGCTACAGCTTGCTGGGCCACCCCGAGACCTGATCCCTGTGATGGTGGGCCACACTGTGCACTGTTTAGACACCAACCCGTCTTTGGTTCTGCAATCACTGGGAGTTGTATCTTAAGAGAAAACATATTCAGCTCAGTAAACGTGCAGGTTTAAACCCGAACAGACATCAGCTCAAGCATCTGCATTTAAAAGTTGTGAGAAGACTTGAAAAGTGGCTCTACTTGCTCTTCTATATTCTGTACACAGGCTGGCTTGTGGCTGTATGAACGAGTGATAATGACATAATTAATAGTTGGTGAGAAGTCTGTTCAGTTCTGAAGAACTGGTTAGTTCTGGGTTCTGGTACTTATCTAGACCCTTTTGTTAATCACATGGGGGCTCTGGATACAGAATATAGGCCTCTCATGCCACAAAATAGTTAGCTGTAAATCATGAATTTGTTCCTAAATTTGTTTTTCCTAGGACAGAGAGGGGCTGGGACAGGTTTCATAGGGCCCAGTTTCTACCCAGTCATCCGCGATAAGGAAGGAGAAATGAGAGCATTTCTGGAGTTTCTACAACAACAGAGATGACTTTTGGCACATACTACAGCCAGTAAAGCTAGCTTTAAGTGCCAGAAGTAGTTGGCTCTGGGAATTATTTTCTGAGGCTAAAGGCAGCAGCACCTAAGTCATATCAGTACCTGGTGGCAGCTAATGGGACATTCAAGATAGCTCAGGAAAGCCTGTCAGAAAGACTCAAGCCACTCACTGACAGTGGTTACATTTAGAATTCCAACCTAAAACAATAAGTACTACATGGGGGAAATAAAAAGAAAGTTCAAACATTTAAGTAAATCATGCTTCATTATACAGTGCTTATCCTTTGAAGGACAGAATAATGGTCTCCATATGGGAAGCAATGAAGAAGGGCAGATGGACAGGAAGATTCCTCCATATGCTTAGTTTATGAAAACTTATTAGTTATCCCCTATTTGGAGAAAAAGTTCAATACAGGTCACAGCTGGCCCAAACTAGGACTCTTAGACACTGGAATAAGTCTGATGTTTCACAGTAACATGAGTCATCGAAATCAATAATATGAATCAATTTGTATTTTCCACCGTCTTGAGTGTCGGTCTTTCAGCCAGTGAGTATTACATGACTACAAAAAGGCAGGAGAGAGAAACATTTATACACACATGCTAGTCTATACTCAAATATGTCTTCCTACCTATAAACACCAAGTGCTAAAGACAGAGCTTTGCCACTTCAGCTGTCTTTTTACAGCTGAGGGACCTCAGGAAAGTGACACTTTCCTTCTGCCTCCACTTTCATTCTTGATCCAAAGAAAAGGAACTACTATCCAATGAGGTAGTTACAGGAGTTCTGACTGACTGGGAGACTAGGTTAATGAAACTAAAGTTCTCACAACAGCACCTGGCATACAAGCACTCCATTTATGTTAGCTGTTTCTTCTCATTTTCCCCACAGCACCCTTGTGGAAAAAAAAAAAAAAAAAAACCTGTAATTAGTTAATGGTAACAGTGTCTTCAAATTACAGAGGAGGCAACTTTGCAAAGACAGGTTATTAACTTGTTTGGAGTCACATAAAGTGACAGAGGTAAAAGCCATTCTTTTTCCACTATGTAATGCTGGCCATGTAATTTATACTGTACTAGTCTACTGGAAAATAAAAAAAGTCACATATACCTCAGTGAGTCTTCCTCAAGAAATCAGAATGTGCTAATTTTAACATCCAACAGCCAAAAAATACTTATTGTCTTCCCAGGTACATAAGCTAAACAATACTGCTGCCAGGCCATAAATGCATCCTGAATACTAGTGATTATCTGTATTTCAAAAGCAAGCTTTAAGGGAACTCTCCTAGGGAAGAAGAAAGGAAAGGGGTTGATGAATGAGAAGATCCACTACAAAACCTCAAAACAAATATATATTTTCTCCCTGAGGCATCTGTCATGACTTATTAAACTGAAGCCAATACTGCCCGATCTTAATGAAAGAACTGGCTTAGTTCCAACATACACATAGCTATGACATACACAGGCTCAAGGCCTTAGGGCTCTTTTTACAATCAGGGAGATACCTGACAGATTATAGGTTAACCTTAAACAAGTGAAGGCAAAATATCAACAAGTAGATGAGCTTACTCTTTTGTCCCCTTTACCTTCCAGGGGATCAAATTTTTAGAAATTGTGTTTAAAACAAGACCTCAACCCAGAAGGTCAGGAAACCTGATTTCCAGACTAAGGCGGTCCCCACCACTCCTCCTGGCCCCAAGAAGCCTCGCCCTAGGGCCCGATCCTCTACGTGCCCCAGTCCTTCCGTCCCTCTTTCATTACCCAGGCCTGCGGGAATAGGGGGTATCCTGGGCCACCGGCCATTTCCTCGACCATCCAACACCCTTTCAACAGTTGCTAGGGCTCTCTGGCCCCGAGAGCAGGTTGTCAGTTCTTTTCTGTATCCACAGCCCTCCCCTCGGCGGCTAAGAGAGGAAGGCGCGCAGCGGCGTGGGTGCAGGGGGCTGGAGGCGGCCGGGCGTGACACCTCGCGAAGCTGGCTCCACCTGGAGTGCACGTCGCGGCCGGCAGCCGCGAAGCCCCGAATGCCTCACATTGGTCCCCGGGCCCACCGCCCACGACCCCGCAGCCTCCACAGCCCGGGGCGAACCGGACGCCCGCCCGTCACCGCCCACTCACCGCCGCACTCGGCCGAGTACTGTTCCCCCCAGTCCCCGGACGGCGGGCTGCAGCCCCCGCCGCCCGCCGGGGCCTCCTGCTGCTGCCGGTGCTGCAGTTCCTGCTTGAGCAGAGACAGTGGCGAGTAGTGTTCCGTGGCCAGGGCGCCCGATCGCGACCCGGGGGACAAGACCCCCAGCAGCAGCAGCACCAGAACGCGCCCGGCGGCGCCCGCAGCGGCCACAGCTCCGCCCCAGCAGCAGCAGCAGCAGCAGCAGCCGGCAGGTGCCATCTTCCCTCAAGGCGCATGTGCGGCAGCCCGCGCCGCGCGCCGCGGCCTCCCAGTCTTAACCCGCGGCAGGCAGGTGGGCCTTCGGCTGAGGGGCCGGAGAAGGAGCGTGGCATTGCCTTCTGGGAGTTGTAGTCCCAGCGCGGTCAGCCTCGGCTCTCTTTCGGGTGCTGAGACTACGCGTCCCAGGAAGCATCGCGTAGCGCAGGCTTTCCGGCCTGGCGTCTAACGTCCTCCCCGCCACAGAATCGGAAGTTCTGGGCCGAAGTTGCGTGGAAATGGGCACTGGTGGACTGACAGGGCTTCGGTCGGGCAAGGGAAACACGGATGAGGTGGCAGCGACTCCTACTGCTGCTTCGGCATCCTGCCAGTACAGGTGCATCGAATGCAACCGAGAGGCGAAGGAATTGTACCGAGACTATAAACATGGAGTGCTGAAGATAACCATTTGCGTGAGTGTTTTGGTGTGTGGTGTCTTTCGGAGGGGAAATGGCTCGGGGATTGCGAGAGGCGATAGAATCTGCATCGGTTTTTTTAGAGCAGTAAAAGTCAGCGAATGTCACGGTCCTCTAATTCAGTCTTCCCGTCAGTGGGTCTGTCTGGTCGTTACCGGAATAACTGGAGCGATAAAGAACCCTTCAGCGCCGTTCTCGTTATTTACCGGTGACACCAAACCCAAGTGAGCAGATCCTAGAGCGGAGATTGTTCTAGGTTTTGCAGAGGTGTTTGAATATCGCATTAGGTTGAAATTTGAGTTCAGGCCAAAGCTAATACATAGTAGTTATTCCCGTTTTGATAGACAAATGGTACCCTTTAATCGCCCTCCCTCCCTGATTTTTTTCCATAGCACCTGTCATCTCATATGCTTTATAATTTATTTATTATTTATGATCTATCTCCTCCCACTGGAATGGCCAGAGAGTATGCATACTATTAAAATAGCTTGACCCAAAGAGAAAAGAATCAGACATATAGTAGGTATCCACTAACTATATGTTGAATGAAAATGATCCACTTCTGGGTTTTTAAGATAATCATATTCTTGGTCATCCTGAATATAAACCCAAGAAAAGCTAGTATTTGTTTATTTATTTTAGTGAGTAATCTTTAGTAATAGAAAATAATATATTTTATTATTATTAGCATTAGGTTAACAAAATTCCCTTTCTAATTATCAGATGTTGATTTCTTTGTCATTGTGCTTATGGAAAAAAAGAATAATTATTGACTACCTGTTTAAGTCAATAGTTACACCTTTTTTCTCTCACCCATGAGAGATTTTAAATTTTGGACTATTGAATAGCTGTGCAGTTCTTTATGGATTCACTACTGTACAGAATCATTCCCTAATGAGAATATATAATATCCTTGTTTTTGTTATGCTAATGCATAGTGATATGAATGATAGCATCACACAGGGAAAAAAAAATCATTTGGTTACAGATTTTGCAGCTAGACCATAAAAATAATTATTTAAAGGCACTCCAAGTCCTGGGCTTAAAAACAAAAAGTTTTTAGACTTTAGGCTATATTCTATGAAAAAATAGCCAAAGTTCTAGGTGGCTACATAATTCCCTGCCAGATTTGGAGTCAACGGTATATACACAGCCTGGTCTCCTGTCTGTTTTCATCTTTAACAACTTTCCCTTTGCACTTCTTGTTTTAGCCCCTGACAGTCTTTCCAGTTCCTTTGTCTGTGTCCCTGGTTCCCTCCATTAAATGGAATCATGTTCCTTGCTTTTAGTCACTTTCTATACTTTAGCTTTGCACTATTTATTAATAATTATGCCTAAAGATATAATATTTTTAATATTCTATAATGTTTGGTCTATTTTTAAGTGTTTACATACTTGATAAATTTAAAACAAAACTCCTTAGAGATTTTCCTAAGTTTCAGTTCTGTTTAGTACTATAGTAATCAGTTTCTAGTGCTGGATGCTAGGTGCAAAATGAATAAGACACAGCTCTGCCCCAGAGCAGCTTAAATAAAGTCAATTGAGTTCACTTGTAAGATAGGTATTTGCTTATTGTAGAGCAAAAATAAAAAAGACTTGAGAATGAGGGAGAAAGGATAGTTCTGGAGATGACAAGAAGGAAGAAGCAGCAACAATATTCATGAGAAACTTGTTCAGGTCATTTTATAATCTGAAAAACATGATTCAGGTAATTAAAGAATATAACAGCAGAAAGTATGTGGATTCAATGTTTAGATTGAGGTGGTTAGGGCCTCCCTGGTGGCGCAGGAGTTAAAGTCTCAGCCCTATCAAGCTATCACCAACCACTTCTGCATGAGTTTGATCCTAGCTCAGGAAGGTGACCCACTTGATGCAACAGACCTCTGCTATCTCACCTGCTGCTCCCCTCAGCAGTGTATTCCAGTGATCCACCTGTTCTCCCTTCTCTGTCTGATGAATCCTCTCACCACTACCCCCTTCCCCCACATACACACCTCTGATCTATACTCCAGTTCTTATATGTATAAATTTTTTAAAAGGGGGGGGTGGCCCTCCCTGGTGGCGCAGAGGGTTAAAGCACAGCACTAAGAAGCTAAAGCCACTTCCGCATGAGTTCGATTCCCGCCTGCCCCGGAGGTGACCTCTCCTGACCCGCCCACTACTCCCCTCAGCAGTGTACTTCATCAGTCTGCCTGTTCTGCTCCCCACTCTGTCTCTGGTGAAGCCTCTCACCACCTCTGAGCCTCTGGCCTGTACCCCAGTTCTGTATGCACAAATAAATATATCTTAAAAAAAAAAGGGAGAGGGTGATTTTGGTGGTAGGAGCAGTATTGGCATTCCCAGGATGTGAGGGTGTCTATCAGGATTCTTAAAGGATAGCTTTCTCCTTCAGGATACTTGTCTAATAATAAGTAATATTGAATCTAGCAATCTTACTCAAAGAAGGAACTGTGTCTATAAAGTTTAGTTATCTCCCAATAAAACATTTTACCATGGCTTTCTTCCTTACATTCAAGGGAAAAGAAATAGCAAACAGTAGAGGCAGGACAAGAGAAAATTGGCCTGAACTAGTAGGGAGGGAACCAGAAAGCATGAATGGTCATTGTTTACAGAATACTCAGGGTGCTAAGAAGGGAAGATGAGTATAGGGCAAAGCATCTCACCGGAATCCAGATGCTGCCTCTTCCACTTGGGTGTAAGTCACCCTGTGCTGAACCCATTGCAGCCCTGATAGTGGCATGTTTGTCTTCCGCTGCTAAACTGTATGGTCCTTGATAGAGAGTTGTGTCACAAGAATATCATGCACCTTGGAAGTACCTGGAAATGGACTGTTAACAATTATAATAGTCGCTCTACAAACATTTGTTGGACAAGTGATTCCATTAGGAATAGCTCAACTGCTGTGTCTCCTGCTGCTGTTTTCTGCTCACCTCCCTCTAAAAATTTATGTACAAATCCTGTTTCGACTTGCGTTGCTCTCTGAAGATGGGTCTTAAGAGAACTTCTGGAGGACAACAAGAGAATCCTTAAGCCCAATGGTTTTTTTTTTTTTAAGATTTATTTATGCATACAGAACTGGGGTACAGGCCAGAGATGCGGAGGGTGTTAGGATTCACCAGAGTCAGAGCGGGAAGGAGAACAGGTTGACTGAGAAGTACACTGCTGAGGGGAGCAGCGGGCGGGTCAGGAGAGGTCTGCCGCGCCATGTGGTCACCTCCGGGGCAGATGGGGATCGAACTCATGCAGAAGTGGCTTTCACTTCTTAGTGCTGTGCTTTAACCCGCTGCGCCACCAGGGAGTGCCCAATGGTTTCATTTTTAAAGTGAAGTAGCATCTTGATCTTATATGGTAGCACAGTAAGGGAATCTAGAAAACAGCTCTTTGTTATGAATACAAAATGTGTGACTTCTGTCAGACCATGGCTTTGCTCAGCCCCCCCCCCCAGTTTTATTAGGTGGATTTAAATTTGAGATATAACACTTTCACTTGATGACTAGAAAAACACCCATTTCTTGCAGTGACATGAAGTAGGAAAGCTCCTTGAATTAGAAGGAAATCTAAGTTTTCATTAAACTTGGAGTGCAGAGTTAATATTCTTCAGTGGACTTCATTTTTCTTCTAGCACTTGGTGTAATTAAAGGGCTACCCTATCATGTTTGCACATCCATCACTTTTCCTATTTTACCCTCTCAAAGTTTCAGAATACTTTGAATTACAGCCATTAATTAATACAGTAGATAGTAGCCTTGATGCAGTTCTGTAATGGAAGTTTCAAATGTTACATTTCTGATGAGACTGTTTTTACATACAGTAACTGCAATTTATATCTTCTATTGGTTTTGGCATTTCATAGCATTTAATAACAATTTAAAAAAAAAAAAGGTTGCTGAGAGCCCAGGAGCTGAGCCTCTAGGTCACCCAGAAATGGTAGCCTAGACCCAGGTGGCACAGCCCAGTTTCTTACACACAGTCCAGTGATTTCCAGTGTCTTCTGTACCAGAGAAGGACCATTTTTCTTACAGTTCCTATTTTGGAGGGAAAACAGGCTTCTCGGTATCTGTTGCTGTCATTGTGCCACATCTGTTTAACTCTCAGAAGCTCTAGGTGCAGGTTGACTCTTCAGAATCCTTTTCTCCAAATCATAAATAACAGTTATTTCAAGCACTACAGAGGCAGGGGCCATGTAACCAACAGGCAACAATTTATCAGTGAGAGTACTTTATTAGATTGTTTTACAGCAGTTCCTACAAACTGAAAATGGAATTTTCTGGGATACTTTACTGCCTGAAATAAGTCTTTAAATTAAATATGAGATCACAATATTAATATTTTCAGTTTAAAAGATTATGTTAGTCATTTCTGAAGTCAAGTCTTAGATGGACATTTTGTATCTGAATGGAAGTTTATAAATTTAAATAAAATTTGATAATAATCTTACTGCTAGGTACACTCTTAAAAAGGTGCACAATATTTAGTAAAAAAGTTTTCAGTATGTATGAATTTGCTTGTTCTAATATTATCTTGTTTTATTTCAGAAATCATGCCAGAAACCTGTAGACAAGTATATCGAGTATGATCCTGTTATTATCTTGATTAATGCTATTCTATGTAAAGCCCAGGCCTACAGGCATATTCTTTTCAATACTAAAATAAATGTAAGTTGTGGTAATTACTATTTTCTAATTTTACTTGATTTTTGTATATGAAAGAATAATACTTTGGGACAGAATTAAAGAACTTCATTATTCAAAAATTTTTTTTAATTATTACAAAAGTTTATTTTTACATCATTTTGCACATTTTTTTTCATTATTAAAAAATTTTAATGAGTGGGGTTTTTAATCTCAACAATTTCCGGAGGTTTCTAGAAATAGCTGACATTGGTTTTTAAAAAGGTGCACAATGTTTAGTAAATATTTAAGAATGTGCTGGCAACTGTAAACCATAGTCTGGATTACCTTTTAACATGTCAGCTTTTAAAGCAGATAATCGTTTTTTGGAGTTAGTGCAGGGTCCTTGGGTTCACTCTGAGAAAGGTGTCACCAGAGCCCCCCTTTCAGTGTCACATGGCAAGTTCCCCAGGCGAGTTTCTTGATGAGACTGAGACTCACTTATATTTAAAGAGCAGGTTTATTAGGAACAGGGACACTTGCATAGACACAAGCGGGCAGGAAGAGCTACCCCAAAAGGGACAGCTTTGCTGAGAGAGGCCTGCATGGTCACAGGCCGGCAGCCTTAGGAAAGCAGCCTCCACTGAAGGAGGTCAGTGCAGAGAAGCCCCGGCTGGGTACAGGTCAGGGCAGGCAGGAGGCTGCTGCGCTGCAGAAGGCGGGAGCAGGTAGAAAGAAGCACCTGTATAGTCAGAGGTGGGCAGCGGACAGGCTGCCCCGTGCTGGTGCCCTTTTCTCTTTGGGAGGAGCTCACTCCTTTGTGGAGTGGCCTGTTTGCCCATGATTTTGGAGAACTATGTGGAATCCTAAAGGGACCCGAGATTTCACAATGGTCCCAATCTCTGTATCTTTACCCTCAGGTAAAGTGCTTCCAACACTCCCTACAGCAGTTTGATATAGCAGTCTGATTGATACAGCAGTCTGATACCTGCTTCGGCCTTATACCTTGTGATAAGGCACTAAGGGCCTTGATTTCCTTGATTGGGTTTATGGTCATGTTAGTCCCTTCTACCCTTACCTCCTTGTGTGAGTAAGGTTTTGACTTTGTGATGTCTCCTTCAGGTTATCTATTATTTTTCTCTACCAGCAGACATCAGTTATTTTGAATAAAACAAATATATCTGTGTACACAGAAAAATATGTCTAAAAGCAAACATTGAAAGTATTTAAAAACATAATTTTTGTGTTTTATACTGTGCTGTTGAGGGCATCAGGAGGACAGTAACAACATTGAGCTTAATCAGAAAATTTCTAATAAAGTTGGATTTGTCAAGATACATACTTATTCAGTATATTGAATTGTGAACTTATGACCCAACTAAACTTGAAAGTCAGATAAACAATGATTACTTTTTAAACATATGTTCCAAATATGCACAGAATAGATGTATACAAAAAATTTCTTTGTTGCTTATCTGAAATTCATAATTAACTGAATTATTGGTTTGGTTGGGGCTGAGATTCTTTGCTAAATTTGGCAGCTTTAAATTTAGACTAACACAGGCAGTAAAGGCAATTTATTTATCCCTAAGCTCCCCCTTACCCAAGGTAAATAATTAGGCAGATTATAATTACTAAAGCATTGATGCTCAAACTTTGACACTCATTAGAATTTCCTGGGGGGAAGGGAGAGGACCTGGTTAAATCTTCAAAGCCCAGGCCTGACCCAGATCCAGTAAAATCAGAATCACTGGGGAAGGAATTCAGACATCTGTATTTCTTAAAACTTCCCCAGTGCTTCCAGACCGCAGCTGGGAGAAGCAGGGTGCTATCTGGCCTCAGAGGCTCCTCTGTCTGTCCCCAAACTGCATTGCACTTGCCCACACTTTATGTTGACAAAGGTCAGCCCAGAGGGAAATATGTAGAAAAATGCCAAATCGTGTTCCCTTTTTGCCAGAACTTCATACCTTTCAGAACTTCATCTTACCACCATTCAACTGCTGTCTTTCAGGACGTTAATTTATACTTATCCAGCATAGGGGCTCTCAAAATTTCAGTAAGTTTAAAGACTAATAGTTGTGAATCTATTCTTACTTCTGCTTTCACCCATCCATGAATCACAAAAGTTCTTGATTTTGTATATAGAACTGGGGTTGAAAATATAAAGATGAGTGACTTAGCTATTTTAAACAGTGACTCTTAAGAAGGAGTGTGCATTACAATCCTCCTTCCCCTGTGTATCTAGGTTTTACTTCCAAAGATTTGGTGTCAGTATTAGGGCCTAGCTAGACATTTGTATTTTGAAAAATCTCACCCATGAGATGGTTCTGGTGGACATTGCACAAAGTAAGCACTGGTTTGCAAATTCATTATGATGATGTGTTTAACTGGGAAGTTATGAATTTGAAAGTTACTAGATGGACATTTTTAAAGACCATGAACAATCAGTTATGCCTGTGTCAATGGGTATTAAGTACAGTTGAGTGTTTCTTATGTAACTGAATGGCCATGTCTTTTGACTACCAGATGCATGGAAAACTCTGCATATTTTGTTTGCTTTGTGAAGCATACCTGAGATGGTGGCAGCTTCAAGATTCAAACCAGAACAATGACCCCGACGACTTTATCAGATACGCTAAGGAGTGGGATTTCTATAGAATGTTTGCGATTGTTTCTCTAGGTAGGAAGAAGCGTGCTTTCAATTAGTTAACTCACATTTACTACTCTGATTAAAAGTAACATGCATAGTCTTAATCATTGTTAAGAGGAGCTAGACTTGAGACTGAATTTTCAACTGCCACTAACCTGCTAGGTGAGCTTGTCTAATTCTCTACTTTCTTACTTTTTAATCTTATCACACAGATAGTGTGGAAGTGATTATGCTTATCAGATTAGTTTCATAAAATAGCTTAAAACATAACACTGTTGATAAAATCTTTAAAGTTCTCATCTAGTTTGAAGGTTCCTAGGTGCCATCTTTATTTAAAGAGATTTATTGTTGTCAGCCCGATCTCCTGTACTAATTGTACTGTGTCAATGAACTGTATTCAATAGGAAAAGCTTACTACTAATTGAGAGCATGCAGGGGAATTGACTACTCCCTAGAATTTCTTAAGTTCAAAAAATTGCTTTTCTTGAAAATTTGAATCTGTGACTTAGGTCAAAACTGTGTTGAATTAATTTCTATGAATATTTTATGACTTACTGGTTTTCATGCATCTCTGCTTCTAAAACATTTTCATTATATTGAGACATTATTTTAGTAATATTATGTCTCCAGCCCACCCTGTACCATATTTCTGACTATTTGTCCTCTAGTCCTCTTTTCTTCTGCCCTTTCTCCTTAGATCCCCTCTCATCTCGTTGCATGGTTTTAAAATTCATCTATATGTCGCACATTCTCAAATGTATATTAAAAACATCCTTGAAAAAAAAATCCATGAATACCTCACCTAGTCCAAGAACTAGAACATAATTTTAAGCTTTAAAACAAATACTCTTAAAATTTCTAAAGATGAACTGCTTTATGTCTGTAACTTTTAATGTTAAAAACTACAAGTTTGGGGCCTCTCTGGTCGTGCAAGGGGTAAGTCTCAGCAGTATGAAGCTGTCAGCAGCCACTGCAGCAGGAGTTTGATCCCAGGCCAGGGAGCTGATCCAAGTGGTGTGGCAGACCTCTCCTGTCTCACCTGCTGCTCCTCTCAGCAGTGTATTTCAGTCAGTCCGACTGTTTTGCTCCCCGCTCTGTCTCTAGTGAATCCTCTCACACCCTCCCCCCACACTTCTGGCCTACACCCCAGTTCTTGTATGCATAAATACATAAAAGTAAATCTTAAAAAAAAATACAAGCTTGTGTTTAAATACTTTGAAATTCCTATAGTACCTACTCTATAGTGGATATTTTAATTATCAAAAATGTTTCCTATTATTACTTTATTGTGTTTTAATATAATAATTAAGTTAATTATTAGGTTACAGACCCCTAAAATAACTTACAAAGAATAGCTTACCTAAATAGAGCATGTTACAACTTAAAACACTTGCTTATACAGTATTATCAACATAATATTCACAGCCATCCTCTTTGTTACTTAATTTAGGTACAAGTACAACTATCTACAGCTGTTGAAACAGAAGTAGAAGGGCAAATCATTGTTGCTATGTCCCAGGGCCCATTAGTGTGAGCACAGAGAGCCAAGGAGCATCTCTTGGTTCCTGTTGGTTGTTTTCATCACTGCGGCCACCCCAGATGAGGCAGCAGCTCCTAGAGAGCCCACCTGACCAAAGAAGACTGCAGAAGGGGCCATAATGTCCTTTGTGTGCAGTTTTGCAGAATCTAAGGGCAGGTGTAGTGTCTCCCAAGTTCTGCTATGGGAGAATGTGGAAGTTATCCCATATCCCTCCATCCAGTGTAGGAAACGTTTGCCCTGAATTCCCGCAGGAGGGTTGAGCTTTGAGCAGCTCCTTGGAGTAGCTCCTGGAACCAGAAACAACTCTCCACGGTTTTACTGCTACTACTTGTTTGTCAAAAGCCCAACTTGTAAGGTCTACCTGTTTGAGCAGAAGTTTGCAATTGACAAGTCATTCAGTTTTTTTTTTTAATCAACTTTCATGCAGATTAACCATCCTGAATTATTTTGCTGATCCTAATCACCCATATTTGGAAATTTAGTTGGGTTATATTCAATTATAAAACCTCCTAGGAAGAATTTGGTTGGATTCTCATATAATATATTGTGTTCCAACAACCTGGCTCTGCAGAAATCTAAATAGCACAGGTTATAGATAGAATAGAATTAAGGACAGGCTTCTCAAATGCATATAGCTTGATAATCAGAGGAATAACAATTTTAATAATAACACGGTTAAAAGGGATGTGAACTTTTCTAGTTAATGAGAACAGAGCAGGTTATGCTGTAGTCTGAGTGGCACACCAGTAGGACTTTACTACTTTGAGACTGGGCTGTATGAATACTTTTTGAAAGGACAAGGAATTCCAATCTCAAAGTTTATTAAAAGGAATAAAGGAAGTTTTGGGGCCTCCCAGGTGGTGCAGGCATTAAAGTTTCAGCTCTATTAATCTATTGCCAGCGACTGCAGCCTGAGTTTGATCCCTGGCCAGGGAGGTGACCCACCTGGTGCAACAGACTTCTCCTGTCTCTTCTGCTGCTCCCATCAGCAATGTATTTCAGTCGATCTACCTGTTCTTCGCCCCCCCCCCTTTCCTCTAATACCCTGCACTTCTAGCCTACAGCGCAGCTCTTTTATGCATAAATAAATAAAATAAATCTTAAAAAAATAGTTTTTAATGTAGGTAACAATATTCAAAAGCCTGTGGAAAATAGCTAGTACGTAGTGGAAAATGAACAAACTAAAACATTTTCATGTGTAATTCTTTGGATGAGTCTCCTCTTTCTATCAGTAAAACCTCCATTCTGTTTTATTTTTGCCAAAAGATCTCTAGAATCTTACCTCCAGAAGGAACATTAGAATGTTGATAATTACAGTTCTAATGGAGTTACCTTTTCTTCAGTGGATGATAAAGTATTTTATCAAAAATACTTCTGTTTCTGGAGCTGTAGTTAGGTGGAACGCCTACTTTAGCCTAATTGCTTCTGAAATCCTACCAGCTGAAATTGACACAGAAAGCAGGGGCTTTTTTATTTTTAAGGGAGGCAAAAGGAAAATTCAATCTTCATAAAGTATTCCTGTGAGTCAGCTGATAAATTATATTTTGGAATTGTGGTTTAATTGTGTTTTTAAGGGAATATGGCTTGGCTAGGGACATTCATATTTTTATTTTCCATTTCCTTCTTAGAACAAGCTGCCTTTTTTATTGGCATTTTTACTTTCCTGTGGGTAGAAAGACCCTTGACGGCAAAAAAAAAATCCAACTTCATTTTGCTGTTGAAAGCCTTGTTATTATCTAGCTACGGAAAACTCTTGCTGATTCCAGCTGTCATTTGGGAACACGACTACACACCCCTGTGCCTCAGACTCATTAAAGTGTTTGTCCTCACGTCACATTTTCAGGCAATTCGAGGTATGTTTGTGTTTTATCCTACCTTTTTCGCTTTCAATCTAAAACACCTAAACCTTGTGTCGGTTTTTATATAAACATGGATATTCTTCATAGAATAAGAAAAAAACTTACCATTTCCATAATGCCTTATACATAGTACACCTTCAGTATTTGTTCAGTTCAACCATATGGTACTTTTTACTTTCCAAAATGCTTGTCTGTGCTGGATCTCTAGCCCTTGGGAGGAGGAGGGTAGCCACCTAACTCCATTTTACCAGTGACCTTGTGTGATATATCCACAGTCACGTGGCCAGGCACTTGTCAAACCCAGATAGGATGTCGGTGTCTGCCCCGGCTCCCACTGTACCGGGGAAGTGTACAAGCAATCCTTTGAGTCCGCATTTTCCCTATACATTGTGAGAAGTGCTGTTTTATAAGAACCTATTGTCTAATACTTTTTAACATTAAGTAGCAATTTTTTTGTTCTTTATCACCTTAGGACCTATTCTTGTTTTCCCTTTTAATGTCATGGGACTCTCGTGATTTGAGTATCTTGGTGTTTTTGTTAAAAGCAGATGCTTTGATTATCACTGAAGATTTGCAGATGGAAAAGTGGGAGATTATTAAGGCAGATTTTTCTGAAAATAATTTTATAGAACAATTTCATTCATACTATCACACAATTTTCATCATTAAACTCTTAAGAACTTATTAGTTCCCTTTTCTTTTCCAGTGACCCTAAACATCAACCGAAAACTCTCTTTTTTGGCCATTTTATGTGGCTTACTGCTGGAAAGCACCATGGTCTACTTCTTTCAGAGGATAGAATGGGATGTTGGAAGTGATTGTGCCATCTATAAATCTCAAGACTTTTGAAGAGGTACAGAAGCATTATTAGCGCCCATGCATTCAGACAAAGTGTCCTCAAAGTGGACAGCTGTCATGGTAAAACAAACAAGTGATACCCATCCCCATCCCCTGACATCTCATTGCTTCTGGGTCACTTCCATCTCCCTCAGGTACGTGTCTCCCAGAGTCCTTTCACTTGAATTCTCTTGTCATTCACAAGAGAGCAACATCAATGTTTTTGTCATTCCAAGGCCCTTGTCTTGTATTTTCTCTGACACCTCCATACCAGCTCACTCCTCTGAAGTCTGTCCCACTGACAGTTATCTCCTCCCCTTTCAACCATTTTGCCCTGTCCCTTCACCATCCCTCTGGTCACAATCAATTTCTGAATCGCAGCCCATCTCCCTGCAGCCTATGCTAGGATGTTGGCTCCTGGAGCCAACTCTGGAAGTCCGGCTAGAGTGTGGGTGGCGGGAAAACAGAAGGGAACAGGCCGTGTCCGGAGCACCAGAGGGGAAGCCTAGGTGCAGTCCTGGCCACTGCTTCCTCGTGCATACATACTTAGTGCCGGCCCCTGAAACCTCCTCTACCTCTCTTCAGCCTCCCTTCATGAAGCTTGTTCTACCCAGATCCAAAGACACTGTCTCTTCCTCTAGAGCATCATTTCCCTTTTGCCATCATTTATTCTTGAACAAATGACCTCAGCCTATTTCTTCATGACGTTTTCTTTTCATAAAACATAATCTCCCATAGTTTTCTGAATACGTGTCCTTAAAAAATATCAAGAGGGGATTACAATTGAGATGGAAAATAAAAATGTACAAAATGATGTAAAAATAAACTGTTATATAATAAAAAAAAAATATCAAGAGAAACAATTTGCCAGCTCTTTCTCAGCGCCCTCTATCTCCCTAGCCCTGCTCTGATCCCCACTGGCTGGCTCAGATCCCCACTCTGAAACACACCACCTATTCCTGTCTGCGGGTTCTTCACTGATTTCTCCATCTGTTGTGGGGTTCTGCCTCAACCTCTTCTTTCTCTCGCTGGAACTGTTCTGCCAGCTTGTGCTCCTTCCCTCGCTGGTCCACGTGCCTTCCACTTCCTGGAGCTGAAGCCAGAACCGCGCCACGTAACCTCTGCAGCTGAACTCAGTATCATCGCCACTGCCCACCCAAGCAGAAACCCCTTCTGGGGCCTTTCTCTGGAATGTCCCCACTTACCTTTTCACTCAGACCCCAGCTCAGCCTTCAGTGTCCCCTGCCTAAATGCTGCTAATAACCCCACCAACCTTCAGCCTGTAAGTTGCCCTGTAGAGCTTCGTAAAGCACCATTTCTGCTGTCCCTTTAGATTTTTCACCATTTCTTACTGCCGACACAGGAGTTTCTAGTCTCTTCCTGGGGAGCATCCTTTAACCGTCCCTAAGTGTTTGTCTGGTCCTCTAGAGTGTGATCCTAGTTTCTTTTTCATCGGCCTGTTTCTGCCCACATTCTTGACTGTAACCTTCTCATAGCATGTTTTATGCTCTCCCCAGTCTGGAGCTTCTTCCCCGCTGAACTAGACATGCTCCCCTTTGCTCACTCCTGCTGACCTCTCAGCGCCAGCTGAGTCCAGGGCAGGCGTGTGTCCAGGACTTTCCACACTGTCCTGTGCCAGATGCTTTGCCCCATCTTTGTAAGTGCTTCCGCGGCCAGGCTCTCCCTTTATCATTGCTGATTATCTCTAGCCACCATTTGAAAACCATTCCTCTCCTTCATTTTATCTCATGTTTTTATGCTTGTCTGTGTCTTAAAATTACTTATGCTGGTCAAAAGGTTGCTGCCAGGAGAAACCAGGCCCGAGGAAACTCTGCATCTTCCATCATACTGGGCCTGCCCTAATAGTGTGTGTTGATTAGATTCTCAGCAGAATGTGCCCTTCTAATGTGCCATATCTTTTACTGTCCACAGTTTTATTCTTTACTACCTGTGGCATGACCAGCTATATCCAACAAAGAGAGAAGCCTAAACATAAACTAATTCCTCATTTCTGTTGAGTAGAATGAAGCAAGGATTTGGATACTCTTCCTGAAAAAGAAAGCAGAGGTTATGGCATTGGAAACCCCGCGCCTACCACTCCTGCCCACCACGCCCCCACCCCATGCAAGAAACGGAAATGACCATCCGGAGACAGATCACACATTCACACTGAAAAACGCTTGCCCAAACAAAGGGAGTGCTGTATGCAGCAAGGGAAACTTTACACATTTGCAACTTCAGGCACTTGATTTGAAAGAGAAACATGAATTCATGACTCACACATAATATTTATTTTATTCCTTTGACCATTGTATAGCTTTTGATTTAAATGTTAAGTTACTGATTTCAAGTAATATATTTTAAATAGTGTGTTTTCTTGCAATAATTGAAACACTTTTCTCTTAGAAAAGTCAAAACAAACTGAGCTTTTATAAGCTTATAATTTAGTATCTTCCACCTGTAACAGCTACTCTTTAAAATAGGCTGATCTAGAAATAAATAACTAAAAGCCACTAAATTGTTCCCTTTGCAGGAGTGAATTGAAATTCCACAAAGCCCTTTTTTAAATAAATAGATTTTTAAAAATCCCTTCTCTTTTCTCCTTATTTCATGTGTTTTTTCCTTCATCATTTGCTTACAACAGATGACTGAGCACCGACTGTTGTGCATCAGAAACTAAAGTGGTGAGTAAGACATGACCCTCTCAAAGTTTACTGAGCTGTGAGAAATTAGAAATAAGTAATGGCAGTACTGGGTGGCAAGAGCGGTAAAGGGACCAGTCCAAGGCCTAGGGAAGCACACAGTAGGAGCATCTAATCCAGTCAGGAGTCGAGAAGGCCTACCCAGGGAAAAGAGAAAGGAATAGAACTTCCCCGTGTCCCTGGTAGAACACTTGCAAAGTCCAGGGGTGGAGAGCATGTAATGTGTACAGTTACTGAAAGTATACAGTACATCTGGGTGCAGGGTGGCCAATAGGGGTTTGAAAAATTGTACCAGGAAGTTACATAAAGGTCCTGTGAGTTGTAATTTATCCCAAAGACACGGAAACCAACACAGGCATCCAAAGTTAAAAACGGAACTAAACCAACTAGCATAACGTCACAGACTTGCCACAGGATGGAGTGGGCTGTTGACCACCAGATGGAGCCATAAATGTTAAAAAGGGAACACGGAGGGCATGCAACCAGAGGGCATGTTACACACCCCCTGTGTTAGAGAAATAAATATTACAGGAAATGACAGTATGTCAGTCATAACTTTTCACTTCTTGAGTCTGTTGACAAGAGAACCACATCACCCTTTCATAAAATCACACTCCATACAACTTCAATCTATGTTAAGCACTGCACAGGTGGTCACTAATCTTAAAAAGAAAAAAATGGAACCACTTCCTGGTGCCAGTGTCTGTGAGTGGCAGAGAGCCCAGGCTGTGGAGGTGGGTAGAGAAGCCACCTGCTCTCTCATCTTAGGCCCAGTGTTTCTGCACTGATCTTTGGAGTGTGACTGAAGGAAGCAGAGGCTGCCTGTAAGTGACCACTAGATACACCTGGAGTGACTCAAGTTCTCCCCACAACCCCCTCTCATCAGCCCAGGGAATCCATCTCACCTCTTTGCTTGGCCCTGCATTTTTTCCAAACTTTTTTTATGAAAAATTTCAGACAATTATTGACAGGATTTTACAGTGAAACAACCTAGATTTTGCAGTTGTTAAACTTTGGCCTGACTTCTCTTTTAAAGTTAATTTAAATGTGATTGCTGAAATGAGAGAATCGCTCTGTTAACACTAATGAGGTAGTGGTGGAGCTTAGTGCTTTAAAGTGAGATCTATACTTTCCAAGGTGTCCCCTCCTTCCCCAAAACACTGAGACATGATCTAACAACAAAAAAAGGTATTTATAGAACAGTGTAGCTGAAAGCATATAATTAAATCACTTTTGGGTACCCCCACCCTCATTGATAAATACATGCACTCAAGCGCCCCTAGAAATCTTGTCTCATAATCACAAGCATGGATCACGCTACAGTGGCCATGCTGACAGCCCACTGCTGACTCTGGAATTTGCAACACAGCCAGGAAACAGAGAAAGTCTCAGTTTACGAGAGCAAGTACAGACCAATATGGCACATGGAAAATAGAGAAGTGTCTTGTTAAGAGATTTTCTACTGAAGTGTGAAGCCCTTTGAACTCATTTGGGAAGAAAACATTGAGGTGTATGTGAAAGCCAAAGAAACGGCATCATCAAAGATACTTACAAGATGAGCAACTGGAGAAGTTAAAAATTCTTTCTAATCAGTCATATAAAAAACAGGAAGCTTAGAAAAGATAAGTGTTTTGCTCAAGGTCACACAAGCAGATGGTGACAGAACTGAAACTAAAATCTCAGCCTTCGCATCCAGTATAATAGAGGATCCCTGGATAAGGAAATTAACTGGTCTTCAAATACAATTAGGAATAGAGAACAAGTGCTTTTAAGTAAGGAACTCAGATGACTGAAGCCAGATCAATAAGCACCTGCATACCTCCAAGGAAACAGAAAAGAGTCTCGAAAAAATGAGCATTTACTGAATTCTTTCCACAGCCATGGTTCTTGAAAGTTGTGTTGAAACTTTCTGATATCTAACATATAACTAAACCTCTTCTTATAAAATTGGAGGAGAAAAAGTTAACCCAGGACTAAATTTGAAATGAACTCTGATTCAAAGAGCCAAAAGAGGAAAAAGGCTAACAGCAAGAATCTCCCACCAAACATTCAATTTCTGCCAGGTCCTGTTGTGTTAAGGGTATTACTAACTCCCACTCTGTCTCTGGTGAATCATCTCACCCCCACCATGACACCTCTGACCTATACCCCCCTTTCTTGTATGCATAAATAAATACATCTTTTTAAAAAAAAAAATTCATTTGACTAATAGCAGCCCGCACCCAACCACTACCACATGGACACACACCTCCTGAGCTGAGCAGGTCTCTCCTGGGAAACAACCCTTACTCTGTACTTTCACTGACATCACAGGCAGGCAGATGCAGGGCACTGCAAGGAGCCTCTGAGGGGCACCTGGTGACATGGCGACTGGTTGCTACCTGGAGGAGCTGAAGCTCTAGGATGGGTGTGTGTGGCACTGGCTGTACCATGTGACCCAAAGATTCCCTGGCAACGTTTGAAGAATATCATGCCAACACATTCTCATATTTTCCAGCAGTCACCTTGCTTGTACACATTTGGCAGGACATACCAAGAAAAACACCTGCCCTGGCGCTGAGCATGCACTCTGTACGCCTTAAATGAGCGCAAGGTAAGGAGCTGCCACATTTGTGTCTGCAAGAAGATAAAACTTGTCTTTCTTGACAGCAGATGCTTCCTGTGCTGATTTGACACCTGGTTTCATTGTCCCCATCTTGCCCTTGTAATCCCTATGAGCTGATTTTTTAGAAAATTGCAGTACATTCTGTTAATTTTTAATGGATTTTTTAAAGATTTATTTATGCATACAGAAATGGGGTACAGCCAGAGGTACGGGGGGGGGTGAGAGGATTCACCAGTGACAGAGTGGGGAGCAGAACAGGCAGATCCACGAAGTACACTGCTGAGGGGAGCAGAGGGCAGGTCAAGAGAGGTCTGCAGCGCCATGTGGGTCACCTCCAGGGCTGGGGATCAAACTCGCACTGAAGCAACTGCGCCCAGTTTGCACCACCAGGTTGGGGCCCACATTGTGTTCATTTTTTGTAAAACCACCATAGTTTTTGGAACAAGAGTGGCCTGTGAACCATATCAATCCATTTTAAATAAATAATTGTATATGACCAGGTACATGTCCAAGAAAGTAGAGTATGCTTCCAATGGAAGCTGAAAGTAGAAAAACTTAGGATGAAAGTTCTCACAAGGACAAACACCGGGGGTGGGGTAGGGATGATGAATGAATCCTGAACTAAACCCCAGTGAGTTAGAAAACATCACTGCCTAGAGGTGGGGACAGAGAGGATTGTAAATCATAGACGATCAACTCAATCTAACCACAAGGCAATAATTTCCACTCTTGTTCCATCAAAGAACACTATAAAACGCCCCTTGTTCTAGCAAAACGCCACTCTCTTGCCTGCCTGGCTTCATGCTGGTGCTCTTTCCTTGTTCTTCTGCTTTAATAAACACTGTGTGCTGATGAATGGGAACATCTGCTGAGTTCTCTCTCACAGGGGCCCAAGAACCCCTCACAGCAAATCTCATCATCTGAACCTGAATACTTCTTTCTTCTGCAGCAGGGGGAGATAAATTTCAACTTCCAGGTCTTGCGTCAGCCTGTCCCAGTTGAGGCCTCAGCACAGTGGAAATGCCTCCGTGAGGGTGACTGAGTCTGCACTGTTATTTATTGATCTTGGAGACAACCCTGTATGACTGACAGAAGCTTGTTGAGCGAAGTCGCGTGGCATGTGACTACAGGGACACTGGGTTTAATTATTACCCGTCTTCTGTCTTCTCTGATGTTTCTGCCAAAGGGTAAATAGAAGCCATACACATCAAGGCCCTTTGTCCAGAGGAGTATCGCTGGCAGAGGCTGTTGGTAACTTACAGTAACTGCAGACTGAGAATTGTGGGCAAGCACCCTCTTTCTTCCAACTCATCTCCACGTACATCCCTAAGACATCTGCACCCAGGGGAGCCAGTAAGTGTGTAGCATCACTAGTTTGCCCTTCAACCTCAAATCCCCTTGGCCTTCATACCATTGTCGGACTTAGGAATTTCAAAGGCATTTTCTTGTCTCTAACATCAAAAATCATTTTAAATGATTTAATGATCATTTAATTGATTTATTTTTGTTAAAGATTTATTTACTCAAGTATATAAGAACTGGGGTACAGGCCAGAGGTGTGTGGCAGGGGAGGGGAGGATTCACCAGAGAGAGTGGGGAGCAGAACAAGCAGATCAACAAAGTGCACTGCTGAGGGGGGCAGCGGGTGGGTCAAGAGAGTCTGCCTCGCCATGTGGGTCACTCCTTGGCTGGGGATGAATGCTGCTTTAACCAATTGCACCTCCTGGGAAGGGCCTACTTTAGATCAATCACCCTTTCTCCTGAGCCCCCTCTGTCATCTTATCACCCTGAAGGCAAGAGGAAAAAGAAAGGCATAGAGGTGGTGCTCTCGTCCCTAAATCCTAGAACTGAGCTGACCTAAGGCCCAACTTGTCTTTCGTAGGCCGTGTCCTCCTACAGAACTTGGGAACATGTCCTCCCTGGCCGTGTGGCGACTGTGTTTTAAGCACTTCTTTTTCTAATGCAACTGCTCCTCCCACCAGTAACCGTGGTTTTTGTGGTGCTCAGGCACCACGTTGCTGACTCTTCTTAGCACTTGTGTCAGGGCCCTCCCTGGTGGCGCAACAGGTTAGGGCACAGCACAGCACTGCAAGCTGGCAGCAGCTGCCTAAGTGCAAGTTTGACTTTCCATCTGGAGGTGACCCACATGGTGCAGCCGACCTCTCCTGACCTGCCCACTGCTCCCCTCAGCAGTGTACTTCGTCGATCTGCCTGTTCTGCTCCCCGCTCTGTCTCTGGTGAAGCCTCTCACCAGCCCTTGCACCTCTGGCCTGTACCCCAGTTCTGAATGCATAAATGAATAAATCTTTAAAAAAAAAAAAAAAAAAGAAGAACTGTGTGTCCTAGAGGTGGAATGGGAAGCGGAGAGAGGGCATCTTAGAACTTGGAACTTCTGCTTAAGGTCAGCAAAACTGAATTCTCTAGTTGGCATTTGCCCTTAGCCTCTCCTCTCTAGAACCGTAGCTCTTCTTTATCTTTATTTCACACTTTCATCTTGCTGATAATGCTTTTTCCATGTAGTTTATAGTAGTTGCTCAATATTCTGTGAATACTAAGCAAGGGAAGCAGTGTCTAGAGACCTGTCCTCAGTTGACCGGCAGCCAGAGAAGTGAGGTGGAAAGGTAGTAGCCTATTTCAGTGGGTGAGAACAATCCCATTGAGCAGGCAACTGACACTTCTCCAAAGGCCATGCTCAGTGGTTGGAACACCCACATGCTTCCGCAGCATTTTCACCCAAGAAACACTGATTCACCTTCAGTGACACATGCGTTTGTGACACAAACTCGAACACCTCCATAGACAATAAACTCACATCCATCTCTCTGAACTCCAAGTAAAACCTCCCATAAAGAAAAGACTGGACAGGTTTGGGCTTTTATAGTCAGCAAGTTTTCTCTGGGCAGGAAAATGAAGTTGAATTGACCACAGTGAAGAGATGATGGCTGCTCTGAAGTCTTTCTACCCCAACCCCGGACTTCGCATGTTTATAATCACAGGCTCGGAAAGAAGTGATACCTGTAAAAAGTCAGAACAAGAGCCAATAGGAAATGCTACACAATGAGGCACTAATTCATAAAGCACAGCAATGTAAGGTTAAGGGGCTGTATCAGGTAATCCCAAGGGTTCACCTCATCCCTTGTTCCCTAGGCAGAGGACCAACGTGGCATCGGAGAACTGCAACTCTGCTGCTCTTCAGCCTTGACCTCCAGCAAATCACGTAGCCAGTTTTAATTACAGAAAGCATACTACACTCACAGTACATGTTTCTGAGGACTTGGTCACTCCATCTGCCTTTTCACTCTCTCCTTAAAGTTAACTGGCCTACCCTTCAGAGCTAGCTCAGATGGTCTCTCCATCAACATCCTCAAGTACTTGTTGAATTCCCTCCCAGGACTCAGTCTCACGTCCTCAGTCTTAATCCTTCCTCTCTGCCGCATCTGCCAGAGGCTCTTCCATTACTCATCTATGCCCAGCTCAAAGTGACCCAGAAAAGTACTAAATAAATGTCAAGTGAAAGACATCACCGCAGGCCATTGACTGTAAGTTCCACTGGAGACAGAAGAAATCTATCATTTGTGAACAGGAAGATTTAATGATCAACAATTCTGGGTTCACCACACATCAGCTGAGAAAGACACAGGAAGGTTGTTCCCTGGTGCATGGCTGGCCACACAGAAGATCAGTCTTTAACTTTCATCAGCTAATGCTGGACATCCTGACCACCCACTGGATACTCAGGAGGTCACTGAATAGCGAGACAGACCCACTCCAAACTCAATGGTAATGAGTTATGCCAGGTAGCAATAAAGGACAGAGGTGAATTTATTTTCTAATCATCTGTGGAACCTTCATAAGGAAGATATATTAGAAAACATTTTATGGTTCACTAAATTTTAATATTCTTTGTCAAGCCATATCTACAACAGTACACTATGTTTAAAGCAAAAGAATGTTTGAGATAAAGTATATTTCAGATAGATTATTAAAAACTGCAATGGTTTATGTATATATGCCACTTCACTGCAGGAGTGAGGAATGTGCTAACCCTTCCCAGCAGTAAGGGAAACCCCTCACTTTGCCGTGGTTCATTCCACTTCTAACTCTGACAGATGATCCTGCAATGACAAAACACCAAAACTCAAGGCATGGTGAACCACTAAGTTCCAGAAGAGCCCAGGGGCAGCAGACCCAGGAAAAGCAGGAAATCTTAACTAGAGGGCACCCCCAGTCAGCCCCGGACCTGCAAGCATCCCTCCCTGGTCATGGCAGGCCCATCCTATGAGGCCTGGTCTCCCCATCCTTGGCTGGGCCCTGGGACAGCAGACTCTTGTTTAGTGGTGCTGGTGACACTAAGCTGCATTTCCCAACCACCGAACAATGGAACCATTGGGGGTGTCTTGTGAAGAGGCAGGGCCTGATGTAAGCTGGGTATTTGATTTTGTGTCTCTAACATGTTTTTGGTGATGCCCACTCCATGACGACATTTTGAACACTAGCTACAAACTACATCTGTATTAGGATAATCTGGAGGATTCCTAGAGTCATATGGAGATGCCCAGGCCTCATTTCTTACAAATTAAATCAGGAGGGTGGAAGGTGAAGACTGAGCTAGGCTCAGCAATTTTCTAGAATCTCCCCAAGCAACTCTAACATGCTCACAGCTGAAAACAACAAACCTGTAAACCTCACTCATCATGTTATAGGGGCCCAGCCTCACAGACATCTTCACAGATGTCACCTGCTTTTATCACTTGCAATTTTCTTGCCCCCTCTGCAGTGTTTTTGCTCCCACTTAACAGTTATGTCCTATGTTGAAGGCAATTTATTGCCACTCCTCACTTTACCACATTCAACACAGGATATATGCCGGAAAAGCTCTTCCTTCTCTGTACTTCACCCCAGTTCCTGAAACAGGATTGTGTACATAATAGGTTGTCCACATGCTGGCTCATAATGATCAATTTTACTTCCTCTTGCTGTCCCAAAAGAGGCACTAATATGGAACTGTCACAGCACAAGAAAGGGGAGCGGGGCTTAGAGCATCAGAGCCAACAGCACCAAGCACCCTGAAAGTTGGTCTACTGTGGCTCAGAAAACCCCAAGTGTAAGCCAGCAGGAATAAAGCTGCTTTCAAATGCATAGTGGCAGCAAATTTTGTTTCAGTGTTTGATTAGATTCAGTACATAAAGTTATAAAAGCTGAAGATGCTGAATTCAAAGTATTATACAACTACTGAGTTTAGTATTTTATCCTCATTTTAAGCCTGCACAGTGTAAAGTGTTCACAAAGTATTTTAATAAATATATAAGGCTTAAGGTGATCACTATTTTGAGTGAAGGGTGGGGGTAGTTTTTAACACTGGTTTACATTCAGAATCTTTAAAAACAAAAATGCTTGCAATCGCACAGTGAATGATACAAAACATTAGCTTGTGCCAGCTGTACTCTCTGCTACTCAACACATCTTCGTATTATCTTTTCTCTTCCTGATGGACAAAGAACATTATAAATTTCTTTTGCGAGATTAATAGAAAGCAGCTGATTGGTGTGACGTGAAATGTTTTCTCAGTAAAAAGCTTTCACTGAGCCACCTGGACAGCTAGTAATGCAGCTGACAAATAAATAAAGCTCAACCAAGAGGCTGGAAACGCTCAGGAAACAGCAAGAATGGCTGCGGAACAAACACATTGAGGAAGGGCAGGCAATGAAATGTTCTCGTTGCACATTCTGCAAAGAGCGCGCAAATCATCTACCACGAGCTGCAAGGCAGTGACCACAAAGAGTCTAGCATGAAATCCCTGCCAAGGTCTCTTCGGGGATCTTCTTGTTACGCTTTCATGGCAAATTCAGGATTGGCGTGCTCCAGGATTAGTGTCAAGGACATCACTGAGCACCTCGGGATCACTCCGGCAGAACCAGCGGTCATTTAGAGAGAATGCCATGAGCTAGATCTCCTACAAACTAAACCAGAGTGGCACTGGTACCACTTGGCTGAGAATGGCCCACTGAGGAAGGCAGAGGCGTTTTCTCACAAGAGGAAAAGCTAATGTCCACAGTGTGTCTGTTCTCAGGGCGTGCCCTATAGTGCCTCTCTCCTGAGACCCTCTAGATGGACTCCAGGATCCAATCACTGCTGGAGAGGGGGGAGATGGACAGTGACAGGTCCCGTGGGGGGCCCAGTTCCCGCACGTCAGGCAGGGCATTCTGCTGCAGGAAGTACTCCTCCTCCTCATCAAAGAAGCCGTTCTCCAGAGCAGAAGAGCAGTCGGGGCTGGATGCTGCCTGGCATGCTCCCTTGTACTCCTGAATGGACTCGTAAAGGCTGTAGAGCTGGCACAGCAAGGACATGTCCAGCTGTCGAAGGCCAACCTGAAGGGGAGAGGACAGGAGGTAAAAACAAGAAGTCAGCACTCAAGTTTAATTTTAGTTGAACACTCAGCCAGCAATCCGCTCATGCCAGCACATTCTTTCCAGACAGCGAGTGACTCAAAGCATCACTCAGATGCTTTGAGTTCCAGTGTTGAGAAAACCTGCAGTGTGTGATGCCCACACCTCAGCCATTACTCAGCATGTCAGGGAAGGAGCACACCTGCCAGGCACGGGCCCCAGCCTGCGGAATTTACTCCCTGGCACACCCTGGGAGGCGGCAGCATTGCACATTCTGGCAGCCCCAGCCGGTTTCACTTGGGATGCTAAGACAGAAGTGTGTCATTTCCTCTTGCTGTGGTGGATTCACAGAAGACCCACGGTGCTTCCCCTGTGCACACTCCCTGGGGCCACAGAGTCCCCTTGTTGTGACAGGGGCTCACTGATCGGTGTCACATCCTGACCAGCTCAGCCTCCAGGCTCTCAAAAGAAAGAGGTGAGACCCTTTGGATAAGGTGTACCCTGACATTGTGGGGGGAGACTGAACCATCTTTGTAAGACAAGGGACCTTCATAGAGCCTCTGGGGAAGAATTTTCACAAAGTGGTGCTAGAACAAGGCACATTTTCAAGTCATATTTGTTTATCTTAAGTTCCTCCCTTCCCCCAAGCCCATTCCAAGAGAACCAGCACAGCCAGGACAGGAAATGCATCATTTCCATCAACCCTAAGAGAGAGGGGTTAATCCAATTGGGGATGCAGCCTGGAGCATCTCCTCTTATTCAGAGTCACCCACTACCTCTGAGCAGATTCTGACTCAGCAGGTCTGGGGCCACAGGTGATGGACAGTGGAGGAGGCAGACCTCGCTCCTCGCTCGATGGGCCAGGGGAGAAGCTCTACACAGGAGCCAGGCCTGCCTCCTGCCTCTTGGCCCTCGAGCAAGTTATCTGTCATTTCCATGGCTCGGCTGATGACAAAATAGAATCATTTCTCTTACGGGGATTGGGAAGATTAAGTAAAATCTCAAACCATTTTAATAAACAGTAATCAAAGGTCTCTTGTGTACCAAGCACAGGGCTAAAAGCGCTGAAGATATTTGAGAACGTGCACATAGGAAAACACAGAGGTGTTAGAGGATTCAGTCTTTGTAATTATCCAGCAATGAGATTTTCCATGAGACAATCCAAATTTCACACACGAGAGGCTGAAAAGAAGAAAGCTGAAAGAAGTTTCATTCAATGACAAGACTATTAAGTTTCAGGTTACTCTCTACACTCTTCCAGCACTCTAAGCTGCCCAACACCACAGGCTCTCTGTGGCAGCTGAAGCCATCATAACAATGTGACAGAGTCACATTTCCTCAGCATACTGTGCTAAAGCAAGGCAGATAGACACGCAAGTCCTGTTGTCTCCGTAATGACCACCCTTTATGCTGGAACTCCGAAAAATAGCTTTTTTTTTTTAAGTTAATTCTGAGGGTAGCCAGATTTTTATTCATTGTATAGAGGGGTAATTTTTTATATGGCACTGGGGTCCAATTAAACTGCAGTGTAGACCAGAGGTGGGGAGGGGCAGGAATGAGAGTATTCACGAGACACAGAGTGGGGGGCAGAACAGGCAGATCTACTGAAACACACTGCTGAGGGGAGCATACGCCAAGATGGGAGAGGTCTGCTGCACCCTGTGTGGGTAAACTCCCTGGCTGGATTTAAGCCACAGGCCATAGAACTGGTAGTACTGAGACTTAACCCTTGGGTCACCAGGGAGGACCTAAGAGCCGCTGTTCTTAGGAAGAAAAGTCAGGGGGTGGGGCCCCTTGGCCCCACTCTGCCCCTTCCAGTAGATTTATTGAGGCCTAGGCCCACAAGTAGCCTATAAAACAAGACATTGGCTGAATAATCCTAAGCTAGCTCAAATACTCTGTGACTCAGTAAGAAAACAGTGAATCTTTGGAGCAACATCCTCCGATTTCCTGGGTGGGTTGTTGGCACTGAGGGACAGAGCAGGACTGCTGCTAGACTTTAAAAAGAACGGGCAGGCTGAGCTTGGAGCTTTCCTGCTGGCTGCCTGCCTGTGGCTGGGGGCTCTCCTGGCTGGCTTCTCACCTGCCCATTCCCGATTGGGCCCTGGGTTCAGGAATTTGGATACTACCTGGCCTAGGATAATCAGCACCTGGGACATGTGTCAGCCAATAATTTTTTTTTCCATCACCTTTTCCCTGTCCCTTTGCCTACACCCTGTATAAATAAGATCTTTTTGTTTCTCTTGCATGTCTCTCTTGAGGGATGTCTTGCATTCTGGAACTTGCAGATGAGAGCCCACCAGCCACAAACCAGGTCATCCCTTTTCCCCTAGGCTTGCCCCAGTTCAGCTCGGGGTCATCAAGGATCCAGGGGTTTTGTCCTAAGCGATCAGCAAACACTTGACAGAGTTTCCTGAGGGGTCCTGGCCTGACTAGCCCAACGATTTGTAATTTTTGGTCTGATAACCACCCAACATTTTCCTCAAGACATGCTCCTATTTCCCAAGACTCCTATACTATCTGAAAACTATAACCACGCCTCAATATTGACTCAGCAAACTCACATACACCTCTTTGCCAGGGTTTACTGCAAGGGATAGAAACTTTACTAAAAACAAAACCACACCTTCCCAGAGTCACACCAATATTTGCTCACAAAATCATAAAAAGATTTCATCTAGAATCCTGGAAAAACTTTTGCTTAGTCACTCTGATACCAGTAGGGTTGGGCGATCCCAAAACACTTATTTCCCACCTTGGGAACAAATAATGTTAAAAGACAAAGCAGGCAAGAAGTCTGACTTGTGCATTCCTGGGTTGCAGATGGGAGCAGGGGAATGCAAAACTGGCTGTACAACCCCTGCCGGGATGCAGAGTCTCTGACTTTCCGTGACCCCTGCTACCCAAGGACCAATGACCCCATGCTACGGTTCAGGCTCCTCTTTCAATATGTCCTTCCACGGTCTCCAGCCTACCCAGGATCCACACCAGGTTGGGAGTCAGATGGTGTTCTGGACCTTTCTGTACTACAGAGGCCAGATGACTCACAAAGCTGCCTTGTCCTCACAGGGAACGAATGCTGGCCTAGAAACGAAGGTCTGACCCACCTAGAATACCGCACAGACCAGCACACTCTGATTACACAAAGAGCAGATGTTAAGTGTTTACACTAATTTGCCAGGGATTCAGACACACAGACACACCTACACATAGCCAGCTTCACAACACCTCCTTCTCTGGAACTAGACTAAACTTCCTGTAGCTTACCAAAAATCCTCCAAATTAGCTAGAAGGACATGAGGTTAGTAGTGACGTGAACAAATGTGGATTCTCGCCTAGGACACCTCTCCTCCAGCTGTGGTTGTTTAAACTCATTCACCAATCTGCATCCCACAGTCTGATCTGAATATACTGTCCCCAACGACAGCTCGTGGATTGAGGCATCTGCACCCACACTGCCCCCACTTGTCCCCAATGCACCTATTAAAGCCTCCCTCTCACTTGGCCCAACGCCAGCTCGCGACTCTTTAACAGACTTCGATTGGCTCAGCTTTCCCCTAACTTCTCAGCCTCTCAACACTATTTATTATTCTCTACCTTGCACCACAGTATGCATAGGGGACTTCTTTCTCCTAATGTAGGACCAGCAGGTAATGCAGACATTCCCTTTAGGTTCCTTAGTAGCCAGCACAGAGCCTCACTGCAGAAAGCAAGATACCCCAGAAATGTCTGGCTGCAGAGGCCGCCTGGCAATGGGGTCATTCTAGGGTCACATAGCCCCTAATACACCCCACAGGCAGATGAAGAGGCAGCTGGGCTGAACAGGCAGGCTTTGTGCCTAGCACACCCCAGGGGGCCCCTGAGGAAAGCCTCAGAAACACACTCACCTCTTGCCTGTCAGGAACAGAGGTACAAAAAGCCAAGCATCCTCTGAGTGCAAGTTAGAGTCAAACCCTCAGCAGCTGGGAGAGATTCCAGCAGTCAACCCCAGAATTAGCCTCTCCACATTGAAGAGAGCAGGGCCTAGGGAAGAGGGAAGCCAGGAGGATCATCCAAGAAAACTAACGTGCAGTTATGTTTCAGGGTGTGATTAAATCACCCACAAATAAGAACTTTCTCCAGAAAAGGAGAAGGCGCCCTCAGCGAGCTCACGACCCCAGCACTGACCCCAGCACTGTCCCGTATACAGGAGGGGATCCTGTCGTCTTAGTGAAGTGTTCCCACATGTCCCTGAAGGACTGCTGATCTCCAAATGCATTGCTAATTCGGATTCACATCCTAATCCTGGATTCAAAAAAAAAAAAACAAATCTCTTGTGAAAGCAGACAGATAGGCTCATGAAAGAAAAAAAAATGTCTACGATCCAGTCCTTTGTAGCCCCTTTTCTAGCTCAGCAAGACAACTGAGAACAATCGACTAGTCTCCTGCTTTAAGCTGCTTCCTCTCTCTCTTCATGCTTCATGCTTCCTTCCAGATCCTTTGCTTCTCTTTTCCCAGGCCCTGAGCAACCCTGCACCCCCTCGGCACACGCAGGTGCCTCAGCAATTCACAACATCCCCAACAACAGGACCAAACAACACACCACCCTGGGCATGGCTTTGAGACAATAGTCTGGCCACATGAATATACATCAGACAGGGTGGTGCGCCCCAGCTGGGTGTCGGCTCCCCAGCTTCAGAATGTCAGAGGGTGCAGTAGGGGAGAGAATGTCTCCCGACTCCTGAAAAATTACAGTACGAACATCACCATTAGGACACAGCGAAGAAGATGAAAGGAACCTTCAAAAGCAATGGTTTGTTGATTCAAAACAGCATCATGAAAGACTTTCAAATATTTTGTGTGGAAAAAAAATTAAGAAAAATAGTCTGTTTTAAGAAGCTGAAAGTGGGGTACTAGGCCAGCACATTTAAGAAACATAAACAAAAGTAACTTCTTCCCAGCTATGGCAATGAGGACAAAACAAACATGAAAGGAAAAGGTCT